GAAAAGGTTTCACAAACTTGCTTCTAGCATCCTTTCCTTGAAGGAGATGGAGTCAGGGAAGATAGATGACAGTGTCATTTGTGATTTGCGGAAAAGGTTGTTGACAGAGTTGGAAACGTTGCTTCCTCCGCCGATAGTGCTTCCTGAAAGAAGATTGGAACATCTGGCTGAAACTGCAATTACAGCCCAGATTGATTCATGTTTGTATCATAACTCATTGGATGACGTATCGCTTTATGAGGATCATTGCTGTGGTAGAGACCAGATCCCGACCGAAACTGTTCAGGTGTGTGTTTCATTGCTGTTCAAATAGCGTTAATTGTTGACAAATCAAAGCCTCAAGTATTAGTAGTATTTTTCAGGACAAAAGTGTAATAGTGCTTGTAGTGATTTGAGAACAGCAAAATGATGTTTATTGTTAGATATTCTAGATGATGAATGCCCAATGAATCGTAACTGACTTATTGGTCGTATTGACAACTAACCCTAACTTGTATATTAGTCACCCCATACTTATTACTTTTTCTTCTAGAGAGAATACACCTGCATCAATTAAATGTTTTTGCTACAGTGTTTCGAGAACTAGTTGCCTGGCTCCACTAACCTTTTTGTCAAATATACGCCTAGGGTGGTGCATGGAAGGATCACAAGTTTTGGGATTTCCTACTTATACTTATGCATCAGTAATTGCTTAATTTTCTAAGTTATTTTTCATTTGACAATTGCAAATATCTGTACTTTACAATAAGTTGAGACCTATTTACTGGAATCACTGGTGGGATAAAGATTAACAATGTCAAGTTCCAAGTTCTAATTGAAAATTCTGAATTTCTTGGATACCCATTCAATTGGAAATTGCAGGGGATTATTCTAGTTACCTAATGAAGAGATTATCTTGCAATCCAGATCCAAAAGTCAATACCATTAGAAGTTGATAGCCCTGTAGCTTGAGTAGCTTCCCAGTCTCCCAACGAACCCTGTAATTATACTATTAATGATCTTAAATTTTTAAAGTTTTACCCCTGTTACAATGAATTAATGACAAGGAAACCATGGAAAATTGTTGCAAAGTTATATTGAATGGAAAAAAGACGAAAAAATCTGTTAAAAGTTGTCAAAATGATTTGAATAATTTTTTTTCTCTGGTAACTTTCTGTTAATGATACAGAAGAGAAATTGTTGGTAAATTAGAAGGACGAGTATGGATGACGTTTCTAATTCTACCGGCTGGGCTATTCCTAGCGTGA